GAGGCAGGAGAATTGCCTGAACCCAGGAGGCGGAGGTTGCGGTGAGCCGAGATTGCGCCATTGCACTCCAGCCTGGGTAACAAGAGTGAAACTCAGTCCCAAAAAAAAAAAAAAAAAAGAATAAGAACAATAAAAGTTCTGCTTTACCTTTACATTTTCCTTCTCCAATGCTCTCCATTTCTTAATGTAGATAGAAGTTTCTGACCTATAACACTTTCTTTCTCATCAAACAACTTCTCTTAACATTTCTTTCAAAGGCAGGCCTACTGGCAACAAATTCTCTCAATTTTTGCCTAAGAATGTCCTTATTTCTTCTTTAAGCAGGATAATTACATGCAAGCTAGAGAAGTGAGTTTCTTCTCTCAATATTTCAGATATTTTACTTCACTCCTTCCTTGCTTGCATGGTTTCTGAGAAGACGTCACATGTAATTTACCTTTGCCTTTCTATAAGTAAGGTGTTTTCTTCTGGCTTCTTTCAAGATATTTTCTTTATCTTTAATTTTTCTGAAGTTTGAAAACGATATGCCTGGCCTAGGTATATTTCTTTTGGGTATTTATCTTGGTTGATGTTCTCTGGGCCTCCTGGATTTGTGGTTTTGGTGTCTGACATTAGTTTGGGGAAACCATCAATCCTTGTTGCTTCAAATATTACTCTGCTTCTTTCTCTCTTTCTTTGTCTTCTAGTATCCCCATTAAGCATATGTCATGCATTTTTGTAGTCATCTCACATCTCACAGTTCTTGAAAATATCCTCTTTTTGGGGGGGTAGGGTAGGGGGTGGAGGAGATAGGTTTTTTTTGTTGTTTTTTTTTTCCAGTTTTGGAAATTTCCATTGAAATATTCTCAAGCTTGGAGATTCTTTCCTTGTCTGTGTTCAGTCTGCTAATGAGCCTATCAAGTGCATTCTTCATTTCTCTTTCAATATTTTATATCTGTAGCCTTTCTTTTCAATTTTGTCTTAAAGTATCTATATCTCTGCTCACATTATCCTTCTGCTCTTCCATGTCATCTATTTTTTTCATTAAAGCCCTTAGCATATTGATCATAGTTTGGAGTTTTTTTTAATTATTCCTATACTGAAAATTCCAAAATGCCTGCCATATCTGACTCTGGTTCTGATATTTGTTTAGTCTCTTCTAACTGTAGGGTTTTTTTCCTGTTAGTATGTTTTGAAGTTTTTAATTAAAAGGTAAATATGATTCTGGGGGGTATTTTTCTCCAGTGTTCACTGCGAGGACCCTTGAGAGTCTCATGGTGAAACATAAAGGTGTGGAGACTTCCTTTAAGTCGGTCTCCTGGTTTAACCATCAGACTTGTCCATCCTGAGCCTTCAGCAATTCATCAATTACAGCTCAGCTTTCCCTAGCCTGGCATGGTTTCCCCAAAGGTTTATGCTTGCTGATTTCTACTCTGGAAAGTTGTGACTCTCTGTATCCACCCATCTATCTCTCCAGCTTTAAGATCAGCAGTTGGTCCTGTGACCTAACTGCTCTGACAAATCTAAGAATCTAAAAATCTTGATTTTTCAGTTCGTTCAGCTTTTACTTTTTGTTGAGACAGAGTGGAGACTTTTAAGCATCTTACATGATGGATCAGAAAATCCAAGATTTTAATTTTTATGAAAGGAATTTCCTCCCAGTCAATAGTCCAAGGGTTCAGTCAGGGTGAACTTATTAGCAAGAAAATATTGATTGAGAAACTGACCATTAATTATATTAATATAGTCACATTCAAATAAAACTTTAGAAATGAGTAGACAGCATTTGAAATAAAAGAGGTCTGCACAACAAATAGCAGAAAACAATAGTGGACAGTGAAGGGAAATGTTCAGCTCATTTTATTACTAACAAGATATGGTAGAAAATAAATGCTTGATACTTTGCATAACTTATATCATAGAAGAATAATAGCCAAAGCAATCTACTACCAAGGAAGGAAATCATGGGAATCAGTTACAGACATTTGGGACCAAAACCATATTCTACATTATAAGGGCACAAAAATACCAAGAGGGAGAGGTACAACCTTGAGCTGGGCAAGGAAGAAGTCAGCTCTGGGGCCCCACCCAGGAGTGGTAAAGAATATCCTGGTGAGGTGGCGGGCACAGACGAAGGTGGAATTAAAAGAGGGAACAAGAAAATGTGTGGTTTGGGGGAACATATGCAAACTCAAACATGTGCGTTTGAAAAACCTGGGGGTCTCAGACTGTGGCTTTTGTCACTAACCTATTGCTGTTCCATGGAAATAAATGTGGTTGGAAAATAAATAAGAATGAGCAGGTTGATGTGGTTCCTCTTTCTCTGCCCACTGGTACCTCCAGGAAGACTGGTTCTTACCCTGGGGAGTCCATTCATTTGGCAGGGCGATCTGGGGGTGCTGAATTGAAACTGCAGCACCTGTGAGAGTCCAGAGAGGCAGCAGATACACTCCTGCTGATCTGGAGAACGGGCTAGCACTGGGTAGGGAAAGTGGGGGTGAAGTTGGTCAACAGCTAAATATGTGACCCTAGCTCTCAAAGCTCCTGTAGTCAGTGGAATGTGTCACTGCTCTGGTGTGTCTAATGCTTCATGACTGTTATGAACTGAGTATTTGTCTCCCCTCAAGATTCATACATTGACACTCTAATCCCCAGTGTGATGGTATTTGGAGAAGAGGTCTTTGTGGGGGTGATTAAGTTTAGATGAAATCCTGAGGGTACGGCTCCATGATGGGATTGGCGAGTATCCTTATCAGAAGAGGAAGAGGGGTCAGAGCTCCTTCTGTCTCCACTGTGTGAGCACACCGTAAGAAGTCAGCCACCAGCCAGAAAGAGGGCAGTCACCAGGAACCAAATCTGCTGGCACCTTGATGCTGGATTTCTTGGCCTCTAGAACTATGAGCCATAAATGTCTGTTGTTTGAACATTGAGTCTATAGTATCTGGTGGTGGCAGCCCAAGCAGACTAAGATACTGCCATTGTTTCCTTGTCCCTATGTGATCCTGGAAGCTCCCTACAGCTCACTCCAGTCAGAGACTTCATGTGTTCCTTGAACCAGTGGCTGCAGTCATTACCATAGCAACTGTAGCTGGGCCCCTGACTGTGCAACACCACTTGTAGCCTGTGTCTTCACATCAGACCTCAGTCTTGTCTGCTAAATATCTGGGAGCACCACTTTCTCACTCAAATTCTTCCTCTTGCCAAGCAGTCTGATGTGACAGGGGTCTTAGAGAAAATGGAGCAAGAAAGAAAGATAGAACTTGTCACCCTTGCAGTACAGAACATTCTATGGAGTAATTCATAACTTGTACCTTTACCACTTCTCCTGCATGCATTCTTTGTGACCCCTAACATCCCCAAATCACTGAAGAAATGAGACAACATATTGTGAAATGCAATATAAAATTATTCTCATAATCAAAATCAAATCTCTTGTTGCAATCGGGAAAGAAAAATAACATGGAACAGAATCTCCCTAGGAAGCTGCCTCCAAACTTGAGGAGGACACCAGCTGATTTTCAGGCTGACACATCCCCAAAGGTGACAAGAACTGACCATCCAGCTTCTCATACGCACAGTAAGCTGGCGAGTGAGGAACAATGTGTACGTGTTGGCAGCAAGTCTGGCAACATTGAGACATTCCAAGGATAGAAAACAAGAAAAAACATTAAACATTTGAACTCTGGCAATTTTTAACCCCAGCTGTGAAGAGACAGGAGGGTAAACACAGTCATTCTATAAAGGGTGTGCACATTCCCAGGGGCTCCAAATAATGCAACATTGTTTTGCTCGTCCATGCGGCTGATGGTTTCATAGTAAAAAAGTCACTACAGACAAGTTGGCTCCCGTCACACCTGCCTCTGGAGAGAGGCCAAAATTGTTCCGCTGCAAGCCTCACAGTGGCACACTGACATTTTAATAGAGGGGCTTTCCACTGTTTGCCTTGTGCAGTGATTTCTACAGAGGTTAGAGCTGAGAGGGAATCCTGACGGTGGCCACATTCCGCAACCCCTCAAGTAGGGACAGGTGTGCTCCACTCAAAAACAGCCAGAGTTCTCTTTGTTTAACAGAAAATTAATTACACACCTGGATTCTGGCCTAAAGGAATTAGACCATGTTTGTTTTCCAAAACAGGCTCGGCTGACAGTCCAGAGTATGTGAGTCCCACAGCCTCTGTCTGCATCTTTCACGACGTCTCTGTTGCTGCCAGCAAGCATGTTCCCCACTACGTGTGTTTCTCTTCCTGATGGTCTGCAGGTGCCCAAGGAAACACGGCACTCTGAGAAGGCATAGGCTGAGCTGGGGCCTGGTAGCCAGGTTAATGATGGAATTGGCTCCCACAATCCCAAAGGACATATTTACAGAACGCACGAGACAGTTCTGATGCCAGTATCCCTTATGCACCCCAGCATTCTCCTGGGCCAGTGACCATTGCTAAGCAAGGGTCGAACATTCCAAGACTAGTATTTGTTTGCCACTATTCTCTCTCTCCAGAAGAAAGGGGAAGAAAAATGAAGACTATTTTTGCCATGTTTCCAAAAGAAAGTGGAAGAAGAAGGCTTGGAAAAGGTTGCTGAATTCAAAGATTGGCAGATTATAAAAATTATGTAAATTAATATATATTACTTTTTATGCAGTTAATACGCTATTCAGACCATAAAGAAAAATCACACCTGCCCTCCGTGGATATTTAAAGATAGATCCTTTATTAGACCAGAGTGTTGGAGGTTGGTGGGGCAGGAGGCGATGCTGTGGAGAGACTGCAGAGATGGAAGGGACGTCACAACCCAGATACCAAAACCAAACTGACAGCACAGAAATAAACTAGAGTTGGTTCTCACTCAGGGAGCTTAATATAAACCACCTAAGCAAAACAGTGGTGTATTTACAGAGTAGCAAACCATGACCAAGTGGGGTTGTCCCAAGAAAGCAAAGACGGTTCAATAAGGTGATTCGTTAACAATTTACTTTTTGTAATCAAAGAAGAAAAAAATGAGATAATTTCAAGACACTTGTTAAAGTTCAGTATACCGTACATCTATGTTGTAAGCTCTTAATGGTGGAAGAACAGATGCAACTTTAATGTGCTTAAAAATATAGACGCTCTTACACCAACACAGAAGTCAGCATTGTCCGTGAAGAAACACTAAAATGCTTCTTAGGATGCTGTGAAAGTAAGGCACAGGACACAGAGGAGTCTATTATCACCCTGTAATTTAGTCCTGTTGGAGTAGACTCATCAAATAAAATAGGAAAAAAAAAAGAAGTAATGTTTAAAAAATGAAAAGAAGGCAAAATTAATATTATTTGAAAAAGGTATGGTTATAATACATGGAATCTCCAAGAGTATCAGCTGAAAACCTGTTAGTAACAATATGAAAAGTCAGCAGGAAGAGAGGCCAAAATCTTATATTAGTCAGTTTCATATTACAAAATACAATGGCAAAATATCCCATTTATAATAACAATAAAAAATTATAGTAATAAATAAATCTCAGAGGAAATATGTGGAACACATATGAGGAAATTCTTAAACTCATGGAGCATAAAAGAAGACTTCAGTACATGGAAATGTGTATCTTAGTCTTATGGAGCAAAACTCAAAAATCTAAAGATGTCATGTTTTTCTAGCTTAATTTGTAAATTTGATATAATCAATTTGATTTGAAATGCTAACAGAGTTTCCTTCATAACCTGACAAGCCGATCTTACAGTTGAAATAAAATAAGCAGATGAAAATAATAAAGTTCTGGAAAAAATATAGAAGAGTTGGGGTGAGATACGGACTGGCCTTATCAGACATTTAAAAGCTGTCATAGGTAAAGCAGTTTGCCATGGAGCAGAATTAGAAGTCGCATCCACACCCAGGCACAAATGACTGATAAAGATTTAGTGTATCATTCATCCAGAAAATAGTGTTCAAGGGTTCATGATGTCTTCAGCCACTGCCATGGTAACTCGTGTGTGTTTCAGTCCTGGCAGGAGACTGTGATTGGTTTGGGGGATTCTCACATCCTCAAATTCTTTCACTGCTCAGTCAGCCCCAAAGCAGGCCTGGCTCCAGGAACAGAACCTTTGGGAGCACATTTCTAAGTAAGTGGCTTGGAGAACAAAAAGCCCCAGTCTTCTGGGTCTCTTCCTGGTGATACCTGCTTTGACAGAAAGCTCACTTTGCTGCTGATTCCCTAGACTGAGAAACCTGGAGGAAAAGAAGCAATAAGGGTATTTTCATGGAGACAATGTGATACCTCTTACTCCTTAGCCACTACATAATTTTTTTATTAATAAACTATTTATTTTTTAGACCAGTGTTAGGTTTCTTAAAAAGTTGAACAGAAAATACAGTGAGTTCTCAGATACCCCATTCCCCACCCTAAACCTCACCCCACATAATTTCCTCCACCGTTGTGAGAGATGGAAAAGTTCTTCAAAGTTTGTATCTTAGACTACACTATAAGGAGTTACAATCTCTTGCTTTATGTCCATTATCCACTATTAGCATAAACATATACCCATGTATATATATATTCTCTAAATCAGCTACGCCCTAAATCAGCTACCTTGACTCACTCCGGCATTTCTGAACAGAAGTAGGCACGCTCCAAACCCTGGTGCCTACCATTCCTTATTTGGAATCTCTCCTGACCATCTCCTGACTGGCTTCCTCTTCTTCCTCATCTTCTTTCTCCTTATCTATTCAGGAAATTTCCAAGTTTTTAGCCAACTGGGTCAAGCATAGAATGCGAGGTCCCGTTCCAGCTGATGGAAACTGGACACAGCAGTAAGGCGATTGTGTCAGGATATGAAAGTTATAAACGTCCCTGTCTCCTTTGTTCAGGTGTGCTCTTGTGGCAAGACTGCCAATGAGACCCAATGCTGTCCCTCAGACCTTGCAGGAAGTAAACTAGCCTTGCTGAGTGATCCATTGTCTCAGTGTGGATTTTTCCCAATGTTATAAACCTGTTTCCACCAACCATTTACATCTCTCGTGAGCGTGGCACATTAGGATGTGTGCTCAGTGTTGTACATTCTATGGGTTTTCACAGTGCATAATGTCATGCATGCATCTCCCATTTCAGTATCACACAGAAGAGTTTCACTGTCCTGAAAGTCCCCTGAGCTCCATGAATGATTTTTCAAAATTAAAATCAGACATAAAGAGAAAGAGCTCTTCTGACACTGAGCTTCTTGTCTTTCTAATAACAAAGAATTTACAACCATTGTGAATTGACCTAAAACACGCCAAACGCCATCACTTCATGAGTCCTCAACTCCTAAAATCCTTAGCTAATACCAATCTTCTCAGCCTGTTAATTTCTCACCAAAAAATTTCCTAGCTAATGTTACTTACGAAAAAAAAAAAAAAAAAAAAAAAAAACAGGCAATGAAAGAAAAAAGTCTTACAGGAAAAACAAGACATTTATTACAGATTGAAACTGATCAGAAGAAAAATTACAGAATTCATAAAATCATTCTTTGTTGGAACTTCTCTTCCTTCCAATGCATTTTAAAAGGAGCATGAGGGTCAGACCACCGTGACATGCATTCACATTCCTGCTTTGGGAGTCTGGGACCCCAGAGTCCTGGGCATTATTCAAAACCAGATCCGATGGTACCAGACACTAGAGCAGCTCTGCGAAGCAGCAGCTCCTTGAACAAACCAAAGGGGTGAGAGACACCTACAGGAAGAAGAAGAGGTAAATGGGTCTGGGGAGCAGACACACAGCCCCAGAAAAGAAGTTCAAGTCTCATAAAGGGAAGAATGAAAGAGACCCCAAGCAGAGGCTGTAGTCGGGTGTTGGGCCCCAGGCTGGCCTATGAAGCTGTTTGTGGTGTGAGGTCAGGAAGGAAGGAACCAAGCAAAAGCAAAGGAGTAGGCTGGCCACAGCTGCCATTGTGTGCAGGAGTAGGGCTGGAGATCAGGATACTCCATCCATCCATTCATCCATTTATCAGTTCATCTGTTCAGTAAACACGTATGCACTGAGCATTTGCTGGGGGTTCCAAGGATCAATGAGGCAAGTTTTGACCTCAAAAACCTCCCACAACCTAGTGAAGAGGATGGAAGAAGTTAGAGTACAGCTTGGCAAATGCAATTCCAGAGATGCCCATGTGTGGGAAACCCGGAGGGAAGGGGTTCCTGGAGAGGACGTGCAAGCTGAACTCGGAGGATAAGCTGGGGTGGGGATACTGTATCCCAGCAGAGGGGGCCTGGGAGTGGAGGCGAGATCCATACTGGGGCCCCAGGGGAACAGTCATCTGGGTGAGGCTCTCCCATGTGACTCGGGAGGCAGAAGCAGCAGTTGAGGCAGGAGACACAAGCAGGGAGCACACTACCAAATGGGTGTGAGAGGACTGCCGAGGTGTATGCTCTGAGGGAGCTCATCCTCCATCCTCCAGCAGAGCAAGGCCCTGGACTTGTGATAAGACAACTCTGGCGACAGTGCACAGGTGCCTTCAAGGAGAACAAGACACAGCCACCAGAAAAACACTGAACATAGCAGGCTAGAAATGCAGCTGAACTGAGGCCAGCAGCATGGAGAGGACAGAGCTGGGAAACGTTTTAGAAGGAGGATTAGCAGGCCTCTGTGACCAACTGGGTGAGGTGGGGAGGAGGTCTGACATGCATCTGCTTCAGGCCTGGCAGAACAGGGAAGATGAGTTGGAGACAGGAGAAAAGTGAATCCGAGAGAAGAATTGCGTTTTGAACGTGGTGTGGAATACCCAGACAGAGGTGTCTGGCAGGCTGCTGTTGACTCATGCCTGGAGTCCAGGCTGGAGGGACAGTGTGGAGGAGATGGGGAAGAATCCCTAAACAGCTAGGTGTCAAAGCCCTGGGGGTGCTTGGCATCACTCAGCAGAGGGAGGGCTGTGAGCAGAAGGAGAACCGAGGATGGAACCCTGGGGAACATCATGGTTTCAGGGACAGCAGGAAGATGCCGGTCTGTGAAGAGTAAGACGTCTTGGCCAGAGAGGGGACCAGATCTCAGAGGTCAGAGGGTTTCAAGAGAGAAGGAGTGGTCATCTACATCCAAAATGGCTGTGAGGTCCAGGAGGAAAAGGGGTGGATGTGGGGATGGAACAGCAGCGAAGAGGTGGCTACAGCGCAAGGCAGTGTCAGGTACAGGAGGAGAGACCGTGTGAAGCCTTGGGGAACAAATGCAGATGGCGTTTTTAAAAAGACAGGATGAGAAGAGATCAAGGGAGGGTAATGACAAGCTAGGGATAAACTAGGGGTGGGGAACCCACTCTGCAGTCAGTCCTCATTAGTCACAGATGCCGTATTTGTGAAATCACCTACTCACTGCTCACTAACAGTTACTTGAAACCTGAAATCAGTACTCGTGGTGCTTTCTCAATCATCCTCAGACACTCTCAGAGCAGCAAACAGTTGGAGTCATCCTACCCACACCGTCTCAGCTGAGGTCAAGCAAGGCAATGCTCTGCCTCCATGTCTCAACTCTCCTGCTGTCAAGTATCCTTTCCGCGGTCTGTTTAGTGCCCCACTTTTTGCATTTTTATGCTTTTTGTTGATGATGTCAATGTTTAAAATAGCCCCCAAGTATCGTGCTGTCAAGTATTTCTAAGTGCAAAAAGGCTGTGATGTGCCTTACAGAGAAAATATGTGTGTTAGAGAAGCTTCATTCAGGCATGAGTGATAGCGCTGTTGGCCATGAGTTCATTGTTAATGAATCAACAGTATCTATTAAATACAGCATCTAAACAGAAAAACACATAAACAAAGTTATATGCCAATCAGTTGAGGATAATGTTGGGAACAGAGGCTCAAAGAACTCTAACCCTGTATTTCCTATACCAGCAATGATTCCGTATTTACTAATTCAATGTTCAAAGCACTTTATAGACCATAGCTGCCTCAAATAAAAAAAAAACCAACTCTGCATGGCGCAGTAATTAATAGAGTGTCCTGTGAATGTGAATCAGAGAAAGTGTAAATGAATACAACTGCACATAGTCATGTCTCTGCCTCTGGAGTCTCGGTTGGGTCTTTTCTGTCTTCTGTGGGGTCTCTTGCTCTCTTCAATAGGTGGGCTGTCATGGGTGACCATGATAGGACATTGTCACGAATAAGTCTGATACCTGAATGTGGAATTCACTCAGAAAGCCAGTGGAGGTGGTGGAGGTTTTAGGGACCAGTTCTCCCACATAGTTGATGATAAGCAGATATCATGCTAACACTTCCAATCAATTAAAGTCTTTGCCATCTAGTTGGTGACTACATTTCTAGTTTCACCCAACACATGACAAATGATTCTTAAACAAATAAGCCTTGACATTTTGCCCTCTCATGCTATTTTTTAAATATGGAGATATGAGAATCACAGGAAGGAAAAGGGAAGAGGCTTTGGAAACAGACAGACATAAAGAGTTAAATCCCACTCCCAACACTATCTCAGAGAGCAGGGGTCTCTAGATGCCTCTGCTTCTGCTTCCTTCTCTATGAAACAGAGATAGCAATAAGAATAAAATTTCATTTGATTGCTGCAAGATTTATGCAAGGCAATGTATGAGATGGGTCCAAACACAGACCCGGGCACACCTGAGCACTGTGATGTTCATGGGCACAGAGGCCAAGCACAAAGGGGCATTTAATTTGTTGAACAAGTGGATCATGACACTGATTCTTTTTACTATGCCCTTATTGACAAAAGGCCTCAACAAGAACTGCCCCCTTTGCTGCTTTTGGGCATAGTTTAAGAACACCACACTAATAATCAAGATTGTGACATAAAGAAAAATGCATCACTCACATGGCTATGGCTTGGGTGCTGAGGGTCTCCTGGCTACTACATAATTGAAAAGTCAGAACTGAACTATTCCAGCCACAAAGATAAGAAAGTCTAAGATTCTCAAATAGATTTTTTTCAACATGAGAGGTGGGACCTGATTTTCTGCATTTCCTACCTTAGAGTAATAAACAAGAAAAAAATTTAGAGCATTTAATTTAAATATTACATTTCACTATCCACTCATACATTAAATCATTTTCTGGCAACATTGAAGAATCCTAGAACAGTGTTTAGGGCTCTGGGGATTCCATAAGAAATAAGGCAAAGTCTCTGCCTTCAAGGAATTCCCCAGTGGAAAAATGTCACTCACAATTTGAAAATAGTAATTTTGTTTCTGGTCATGTATTCATTCACTCTTCCCTCCCAGCCTGATAGATTATATTCTATACACTGTTCTTAGCACTATGATATTGACAAAGGATATTTTTAGTAATTTCATATAGATGCATCATTAATAATATTTTTACTTGTTATAAAACTGAAATAATTAATAAGGAGAATGCATCCTCAAGAAGTTTATGGTGGTGGTGGCTCACGCCTGTAATCCCAGCACTTTGGGAGGCCAAGGCAGGTGGATCACTTGAGGTCAGGAGTTTGAGACCAGCCTGGCCAACGTGGTGAAACCCCATCTCTACTAAAAATACAAAAATTATCTGGGTATGGTGGTGCACGCTTGCAATCCCAGCTGCCTGGGAGGCTGAGGCAGGAGAATCGCCTGGGAGGCAGAGGTTTCAGTGAGCGGAGACTGTGCCATTGCACTTTAGCCTAGGCGACAGAGCAAGACTCCATTGCAAAAAAAAAGAAAGAAAGAAAGTTTATGGTCTAGTATGGACAAAAATAAGGAAAATGTAATAATAAACTCTTGAAGGAATTGCACCCTGAGAGGTTAAGGAATTCGTAGATGGGAGAACAGGCTCAGAACCAGGCCCGTGGATTCCAGGTCCCATGGGATTGGCTGCCTCATTAGACTCACTGTGCTGGCCTCACCAGCTTCACTCTGTGATTTCAGGGAACCCAGCGCAGTGCAGAAACCTGCCCTGCTAAAGGTCCCTGGAGGGCAGAGACATAACTGGGACTTCGGTCAAATCCTGTGTTCAGGTCAGGGCTGTGGCACAGCTGTTTAGTCACTGCTGTCTTTAAAAATAAATGCTTTGAGTGACCAATCTCATCATAAAAATCAGATGATGGATTTATATTGCAATATGCATATGTATATACACCCAACGTTATCATATTACTAATAAATGAAGAATCCAACCCATCAAGAACTCTATCCCCCCTGCCCCCAACCCATGATGCTCTGTAAGAAAAAAAGATATCATTTACATTTATAAAAATGGAATATGATGTGTCTGTTTCTTCATAATGAGTGGTTTCTTGATCTCAGCATGGAGCTGGCTTTTATTTTTAGAGTTGCACCATAGATTAAAAAGAAAACCTACCATTTGTGTCTTTCATCCAAGAAGTCCTCACTGGTAAATTTCCCTTCTATTTTAGTAAAATGTCAGTTGACTTCTTTCAAAAACCATGGTTAAAAATTAATTATACTATGCTTAACTGACTTTTTAGAAAAAGAATTTCAAGAACCCAAAGGGAAGGATGTCATTCACTTAAAGAATATGTACTGAGTGTGATTTATTGGGTGTGCTGGGCTGTGTGAAGGGCACCAGGGACAGTGGCAGCTGAAGTTTCTTGAGACCTCTCTTGGGAAGTCTGGTAGTCAGATGGGCGTCAGCAAACAGCCAATTGCAGGCCCTGTTATGAGAACCTTACCGAGGCCCAATCAGGGACATCATCTCTGACCCAGTGGTGGTGGTTTGTGGTGTCAGCAAGGACCTCCAAAGGGAAGCAACAACTAAGCTGGGACCTGAACAGTGAGGCAGAACTACTCAGGTGGATGATCCCGGTAGAGGCAGCAGCCAAAGGACAGATCACGAGGTCAGGAGTTCGAGACCAGCCTGGCCAACATGGTGAAACCCCATCTCCATTAAAAAAAAAAAAGTAATCTACAGAATTGGAAAATAATTAAACTAAGGAGATCATACAAATGCTCACCAATATTTAAATTATACATTGGCTGGGCATCCCAGCACTTTGGGAGTCTAAGGTGGGTAGATCACCTGAGGTCAGGAATTTGAGATCAGCCTGGCTAACATGCTACAGTGCTACAGGAGCGGAGGAGCCAGGAGGACTTGGGAGAGGTGAGGCTGGAGATGTGGGCAGAGCCCACAGGTCATGAAGGCCATCGTGAGCTACACTGGGAGTTTGGACTTTATCCCGCAAGCACGCAGTGTTACACAGACTGTAAAGCCCGTGAACACTCCAGCTTCATTATTAACACGTGTGTGCACGTAAAATACCTATGTATGGACTCAACATCTGTCATTCCATCTTGAGATTCTTCTTACGTGTGCCCTTCATGATAGCTACATTTGCTCCAATCCCATCTCTAGTAACGGGGAATTTATACACATGTGGGACTATATGAAGCTCATTGTCAGTGTGATAAACCAGGACTCCATCTCTAGCTTTCTACAGAACTGGGGCATATAGGCTTTTCAGTGTCTGGTTGCTGCCCAGCTCTGCTAAGTCCCACAACTGAAGCAACCATTAGAGAGTTTACACGGGGTGAGGATCAGAATATTCTCCATGTTCATGATAAACCTGAAGACAGCAAACAAGGTAGACAGTGTGGGATCAGAACCTAAGGCAAGAATACAATCAACAGTTCACTGGTGATGGTAGTGAAGTGATGGGCCAATGCCAGAGAAAACGTGTGGGAGAAATGAATAAGACTGGACCCCTATGTACGTTAGAAGAAGATGAAGGATGAAGGGGAGTCAGTGATGCCCTCAAGATCTTTAGCTTGAGCAAATTAGGTGAATGGTGATGCCATCAATTAAGAAAGGGAGCTTGATAGGAAAATAGTTGAGTTTCAGGGACTCCCAGGATACCCAATGGCAACTGCATTCAATAGGCAGTTGATATAAAGGCCTGGTTCCGGACATAGAGTGTAGTAAGAGAGGTGTTTGGAAATAATTATGCATCATTGATAGTTCAAGCAAGAGGAAGAAATAAAGGAGTAATCGGCCGGACGCAGTGGCTCACATCTGTAATCCCAGAACTTTGGGAGGCCGAGGCTGGCAGATCATGAGGTTAGGAGTTCGAGACCAGCCTGGCCAACATGGTGAAACCCCGTCTCCATAAAAAAAAAAAAAAAAAAATGGGTTATCTACGGAATTGGGAAATGATTAAACTAAGGAGATCACACAAATGCTCACCAGTATTTAAAGTATACTTCGGCTGGGCATCCCAGCACTTTGGGAGGCTAAGGCAGGTGGATCACCTGAGGTCAGGAATTTGAGACCAGCCTGGCTAACATGGTGAAAACCTGTCTCTACTAAAAATACAAATATTAGCTGGGTATGGTGGTGGGCACCTATAATCCCAGCTACTAGGAAGGCTGAGATGGGAGAATCTCTTGAACCCAGGAGGCAGAGGTTGCAGTAAGCCAAGATCGCACCATTGCACTCCAGTGAGGGCAACAAGAGCAAAACTCCATCTTGAAAAATAAAATGATTAATAAAGTACACATCAATAAAAGGAAGCTAGATCAGACTTCATAGATGAGGTGAGGAGGTTGAGGAAGCAACCAGAGATCACAGTTGTGTCAAAAAGTTTAGCAGGGGAGGAAGGAAGGAGGGAAGGCAGTTGCTTAGATGGATGAGATGGGCCAAAGGAAGGAGCTGTGCCCTTGCTGTTTGCTTGCTCTTCAAGTGGACAGACTTAATCACATCAGTGGCAACAGATACAAATGTCATGGGAGAAAGATTGAGGGTGCATGAGATTGAAGAGGTAACTGAGGAGAAGTCTTGGAGAGGAAGTCAGAGAAGCCAAAAGGCAAGGATTTGAATCGCACATTGCAGATATTTGGAGGTTGGCAGTTTCAAGACATTCACTCCACGTGGCTTCTATTTCTAAATACCCATGTGATCACCTGTGTTTTCTTACCTCAAGACTGTTACTCAAAGTCAGTATTTATTCTTGCTCTGTGCCGGTAATTTGGGTACCTTCTATTTCCAGGAGGAAAAGCCCTTCTCATGATCTCTAAACGTAGAAAAGGGAAGCGTAGGCTCTGTCAGTCACACGAAGACCTGAGATGGTGTGGACTATGTGACTACAAATTAATGAGAAGGATTGTGACAAGCATAACCCGAACCCATCTGCCACGAGAATACCTGAGGATGCAATAACTTCATCTTCTTTATTCCACTCTCTCTCCTTCTTCCCTGTGTTGTGTTACAGCTGGGCCCAGCACTCATTTCTCCTCACTCTGTATTACCACATGTGATGTCTCAACCACCATGGATGCCCTTGAGGGCAGAAACTGCCACATTTATCTTTCAGTCCTCCATGGGATCTGCCCAGTGCTTATCACACACATTTGTCGAATTGAATTAAATCATCATGTTCAAAGCAGTCTCTAAGACAGCTGTACTTCTGTGTCAATGATGCTCCCCCAGGCCCAATGTGTTTTTAGGTTTTTACTTAGAAATCTCTTCTGAGACATATAAAAGAATTGGTCACATTCATTTATATCCATATAACATTTTTAGTCTTAAATGGCATTTGTCCAATACAGTAATCAGTTTCCAAGATGGCTTCCCGGTATTCACACTCCTGGGCAGTCCCTTCCCACACTGGGGTTGGATTGGCTTGTGTGTTTAATAATAAACTATGCAAAGTGATGATATATCACTTCCAAAATTAGGTTATAAAAGACTGTGATTTTGTCTTGGGTGCTCTTGCTTGCTCATTCTCTCTCTCTCTCTCTCTCAAATCATCATCTCTGGGGGGATCCAGCTGTCATGTTTTGAGGATATTCAGAAGTCCTATGGAACGGAAGCCCTTCGTCTACTACCCTGTGAAGAACTGAGGCTTCCCAACAACATGTGAGTGAGCTTGGAAGTGGCTCCTTCAGCCCCAGTCAAGCTTCAGATAAGATCACAGCCCAATCAACATCTTGTCTGAAACCTTTTGATAGACCCTGAGCCAGAACCACCCAGCTAAGTTTCTCCTGGGTCTTTGACCCTCAGAAACTGTGAGAGACTAAATGTGTGTTGTTTTAAGCTGTCCAATTTTGGGGTAATTTGATATATAGCAATAGATAACCAACATGCCCAAGTTGATTATTAATCTGATTCGTCAGATTTAATTCCAAATGTCTTTTAGATATTTCCAACATCAAATCCAAGGGCAGATGTTTGCCACCAGTATCGAGATTCAAAGTAAAAAAAAGAAAAAAAAAACAAAAAAACTCATGGATTCTGAAGACAATTCCTAAAGAAATGTTCATAAAAACATTTCAGCAGTGGTCATGCCATTATAATAACTGCATATTCTCCCAAAGTGACAATTTGGATGAGATATAAAACAGGCATTAAAACAAAATCCAGCATCAAGTTATAAGCCCTAGCACTTCAAATAAACTGGAGTATGCCTAATGAAGGTCAGACTTTGAGATCATTGAAATGTTAATATCTGTGTTATTCATTTTAATGGGGAATGCTGAACATCAGGTGGATTTTGCAGCTCTTCTGGGAAGCAGCATGAAACAGGCACAGGTTTTAGATTCTGACAAATCTGATTAAATTCCTACATTGGCAATGTAGCCACAAGCAAACTACAGAAACTCACTAGGCCTCAATTAGCTCACCTAAAAATGGGAAAGAACGTAGTCCTACCCCACAGAAGGAGAAAATTATGTTACAATTAGTACAGGGTAGGTAATTTGCATATGCCAATTAATGCCATGAGTTCTTATTGCTTTCTTCGTCTACATAAGCAGGTAACACACCTGGTTTACAGGGTTATCACGGGGACCAAATGAGAAAACTGATCTGTATAGGAGAGGGACAAAATAACTCAGTTTCATCCATTTGATGAGAAGTTTGGTTGAATATGGCAAAAAGAAGATCATTAGCCACATTGTATGCCTGTATCAAAATATCTCATATACCCCATAAATATATAGATACCTCTTATATACCCATAAAAACTCAAAATATTTTTAATTAAAAAAAGAAGATTATTAGAGTTCATGCTATTTTTTTAAATGCTTCAAAGTATGTCAGAAAAAAAAAAAGTCAATGCTTATTTCCTGAGCCAAATTTGATATTTTGATTCTTGGTAACTTTAAGTCAGCTAGTGCCTCAAGGTTACCTTTTCAATGATTTGCAAAGCAAGTTTATACATTACTATTCTTTTCATTTTTACTTAAAATATTTTGTATTTCAGATATTTAACTCCTATGGAACAGGAAACAGCTATAAAATAGGATTTCTCAGGAGTCCAGATTGATCAGAAAAGAGTCTGGTGGCACAGCAGGAAAGAGACAACTTACCAAGTGATCGATCATACAATTGTTCACTTATGGACTCATCTGGAATGAGACCTGCAACACAGTAATAATCATAAGACAAGACTCCCCTGACTACTCCAGAATGTTCTATGACTTTATTATTAATGCCACAAATATGCTTCTTAAGCAAAGACGCAGTAAGAGATCACCACTGAGTTTTGTTGCCATCAGCACTAATAGGAAAAACACCTCCTAAGTCATAGAACACTAACCCAACCCATTTTGTATTAAAGGCCACACAAGAAAAGGAAGAAGGAGAGCCCTTTCTCCCTGAACTAAGACACTCAAAGAGATGATCAGCTCTAGAGGTGTGGCTGAAAGATGATAGAATTAACCCTGTTTAGTTCTGATTCTCCCAGCTACACATTCTTAAGGGGAAAACCAATACCACCAGCTCTGCTCACTTGGCAGAGATGTTGGTGCCATCAAATGGAATTAGGTATGGAAAAGCTCTGTTGTGAATACAAAGGAATATCTAAATGAATAGTTGTATCATTATTATCTAGTGATAAGAAATGAGCAAAAGCAAAACAAAATGTTAATTTTCTATGACTGTAATTGTTCAAAGGTTATATACATATATATTTCTAGTTTTAAATGACTCGCTAACAAAAAGCTGCAATATGAAGTTATTTTAAGCAAAAAACTTAAATAAAATAGATCTTAACTTACCAAATGGATAATTGTTTCTCCATTTATGAGATCCCAACATGTCCCTAAAAATCATCTAAAGAAATGTAGACATCAGGATATGTCAGCACATGAAAGAAAGAAAAAGGAAAGACACTGAAAAATGTAAATGTCACCTGGAAGCCTCTGATATAGGTTATATAATCCATTTTTAAGGAAATAGGCAATACATTATATTAAATAACTTTATATGGTGTCAAACACATAAGCCTAAAAAACACATGGGGAAGAGCAACCTACATGAAGTTTAAATTGCCCACCGATCTTTCCCCTAGACTGAGAATGTACTCCCAAACATTGCCGACCCCCAGAAAGGCAAAACTCTGTTACACAGACTTGCACAAAGACTAATTTAGGTCAAATTTTAGAGTTTTCGCTCTACAAAGTGACCATAATATGTTCAGTAGGAAAAGTTGTCCACAAGAAGTTTTTATGAAACCACTGAAAGTCCATGCAATCATCACAAAGTGAAGTGGCTGCTTGGCTCACAGTCTTCCTACCAAGAGTCTTGGCAGGCTGCCCTCTCCATCCTGAACAGTCACAGGTAGTCTCTTGGTCTCCATCACAGTGATTGGACCAGGAACACATACCAAGGCAATTTAAGAGAGAAATAATACTCTTTTCAACAAACAGTGCTGATACAACTGTATATGCACATGCAAGAGAATGAAGCCAGACCCCTTCCTCGCATCATATGCAAAAATCAAATCAACATGGATCATAGACCTAATGTAAGACTACAGAAGCAACAAAATAAAAAATAGATAAACTAGACTTCATCAAAATTTAATTTTGCTCTTCAAAGGACATCATCAAGAAAGTAAAGGGCAACCCACAGAGGGGGGAAAATATTTCAAAACAACTCAATAAAAAGACAAATAGTGCAATTAAATCATAAGCAAGGATTTGAATAGACATTTCTCCAAAGAAGATATACAATGGCCATTCATTAGTCATTAGAAAAATGTAGATTAAACCATGACGAGAGCTAGGCACAGTGGCTCACGCCTATAATCCTAACACTTTGGGAGGCTGAGATAGGCAGATCACCTGAAGCCAGGAGTTGGAGACCAGCCAGGCCAACATGGAAAAACCCTGTCTCTACTAAAAATACAAAAATTAGCTGTGTGTAGTGGCACACATGTGTAGTCTGAGCTTCTTGGGAGGCTGAGGCACTACAATTACTTGAACCCAGGAGACCGAGGTTATAGTGAGCCAACACTGTACCACTACACCCCAGACTAAGTGACAGAGTGAGACTCTGTAAAAAAAAAAAAAAAAAAAACCCTACACTAGAATGGCTAAAATAAAAAAGACAGGCACCAACACATATTGACAAGAATGGAAATGGAAATAGAAATGGAAATCCTCGTACATTACTGGTAAGAATGTAAAATGGTCCAGCTACTATGGAAAAAAGTGTGGCAGTTCCTCAAAAAGTTAAACACAAAGTCACTATATGGCCATTAAACACAGAGTTACTATATGATCCAGGATTTCTGTTCCCAAGAGAATTAAAAACATGTATACACAAAAACATGCACATGGATGCTTCTAGCATCATTATGATAGCCAAAGAGGTAGAAATAAACCAAACGTCAATCAACGAATGAATGATCAATCCAATGTGGCTCCATAAAATGGAACAATAAGAATGAATACAGCACTGATGTATGCTACAACATGGATAAACCTCCAAAACATGATGCTAAGTGAAACAAGTTGGTCACAAAAGAACACAGTCTGTATGATCCCATTTGTGTGAAATGATCAGAATGGACAAATCCATAGACACACAAAGTGGATTAGTGGTTTCCAGGCATTGGGAGGAATAAGGAATAGAGAACAACTGTTATTGGGGTCTCTTCAACATGATGAAAGTGTTCTGGATTTAAATGGTGGTGGTATTTGTGAATATAGTAAAAACCGTTGAACTGTACACATTAGAAAGGCAAATTCTATGGTATGTAAATAATCTCTCCACCAAAATGTATTTTAAAAGGGGGGTATCAAAACATCACATTGTACACAGTAAATATGTAAAATTTAAGATAAATTAATAATAAAGTTATAAATGTATAAAAAGAAAAAAAAGAGGGGACACCGAAGCCAGGCCAATAGGAGGAATGCCAAGAGGTTTCCCTAACTGGCAATAGAGAGAAATGCCTCCTTTTCCCTCTAAGTACAAAGGACATAAGTCTGGAGTAGCTTGAGGTTCTACTTCCTACTGCAAGGAAAAAGCCTCTCTGCAGTAAAGGTGGGCATGGAGTCGGGGAGGCACAGTGACAGAGAGAAAGAAAAAGAGAGAGACAGAGAGAAAGGAAGGAGGATAAGACTGAGGAGGCAGAGAAGGAAGGAGAAGGAGAGGGAGAGGGAGGAGGGAAGGGAGGAAGAGAGGGAGAGAGACAGGGGAATGAGGAAGAGGAGGAGGAGGGGGAGAGGGGGAGAGAAGGGGCACATACAGGACGGAAGGGCACTCAGTCGAGTTGTCCATGAGGCCAACTTCTTTCCTTCCTTTCTGGGAATGTGATCCAGGGAATTATCTCTTTTTGGCTTAGACCACTTCTGGTTGAATATCTATCCTTTTAAATGAAAGGCAGTAAATAAATTAAATGCCTTTCAACCCTCCCTGGAGCTCAGAGTTCCTGTCATTATTCTTCCTCAGTTTCTTTCTCTTGGACTATTTCGTCTCTTGTCTGAAACCCTAGCTGGCTTTATCCTATCCACTCCAAATCAGAAGATTTGTCTAAAGTCAAGCTCACTTATTAGAAACTGAAGAAAGAGAGGGCACCAGCCTACAATTGTACTAAATTGTACCATGTCAGCATTGTCCTCTTGTGGTGCCTGCACCATGATGAGGCTGAGTGAGTGCTTATGCACCGTATAGAAAGCTTTTCTCCTCTACGTAGTTCTCTTTCAGGATTGAAAAAGAAATAATAAAAACTATCAATAATTCACATATCTATTTGGTTAAGGACAAGAGACTATTTCCAAATTTAGAAATTTATTTTCTCAATTTTTTATGGTTACTATACCTGTTAAAATTATGTCATGGAAAGTCCAAACATTTTATATTCAGGTCTCTCATTATGTCCTTACCAGACTTACTCTAAGTCCTTATTAGTCATAATTTGGATTTTAGGGCTTATTTGCCATGGCTTCCATTTTTCTTCACCTTGTATTTCTCATTCTGAAAATTCTTCTACATTCTCTCTATGTTTTTCATGTGATCTTTATTTTTATTGCTCTGGGAGGTTTTTTTAGTTTTATTTCTTCTATTTCTTCCTTCCAACAATAATTTATTTGTTCTATGACTAAATTTATCATAGTCTATTATCTTTCATATTTATATTATCACTTTTTTCACTGAAAATGATTATCAGCTGTTCTCTCCTTTCTTCTCTTCTTCTCTGTTTCATGTAAGAAATTCATTTCAGAGTTTCCAAGAATTACTTAAGTCTCTATCTTCTTTCTTCTTTTTCTTTTGAATCACAGAATTTTTAAATTTGAGAATTTTAAAAATACATTTGCTTAAAATATTTTATGATCACCTAATCTTCAGGACAAGCAAACTGGAAGTTTATTTTAAGATCTAGTTTTTTCAAAGGGCTAACTTAATATCTGAGTCTTCTTAGAAAGCTTGGAATTGGAAGAAAAGAGAGTGGTCTTCACTATGCAATTCGAAAGTTGCAACAGATTTGTGGGCTTTCCAAACAATTAGAACAATTAGAACCCATTAAATCAGGGGTGGGAGAGGGATTCACTTAGATCATCATTTAGTAATTGATTTTGTGTTAAAGGTCATAAAATGAACCAGAATTTATTTCTCACAACATTCACTACTAAGCCCTAGACACAGTTAGCATTCTCTCTCACCTCTTATTTATTTCATATTTACTCCATATGTTTTCTTACCTAGTTCCAATCTATTCATCATCTGATTCTGTCACCATTCTCCACTCCCAACGTACACACACTTAAATCCCTTTCATAGCCCCCGTGTCATTAGGATAAAGCCGGGCATCCTCAACAAGACCCTCGAAGTCCATCTTGACTGCTCATGCTCCTCCGGCTCCACCCTGTGCCTCTCTCCCCATGTTTTGTTTGTTTGTTTGTTTGTTCATTTGAGTCAGAGTCTCACTGTGTTGCCAGGCTGGAGTGCAGTGGCCTGATCTTGGCTCACCGCAACCTCCACTTCCTGGGTTCAAGCCATTCTCCTGCCTCAGCCTCCCGAGTAGCTGGGACTACAGGCATGCCACCATGCCCAGCTGATTTTTGTATTTTTAGTAGAGTCGGGGTTTCACCATGTTGGCCAGGATGGTGTTGATCTCTTGACCTCGTGATCCACCCACCTTGGACTCCCAAAGTGCTGGGATTACTGGCGTGAGCCACCGCGCCCCCCACCCCCCATATTTTTCTCATTTCTGTTGTAACGGAGTTCTGTCCATTTCAACCCATCAGTTTTAATGGCAATTCAGGGTACCCCACTTGATTTCCCCTATACTTGAAATACCCTTCCCCCTCCACCCTCTTTCTGCTTTGTTCTGACTTCCACCCACCTTCCAGTTCTTGGCTGGAAGGTCGGTTCCTGAAGGATGCTGTCTGCTCCCCACGTGACATGCATTCCTCTCACTATGTGGTCTCCAGTGCCTGCCTGGAAGTCAGGGTAATTCCTGCCTAGTGGGTACCTTTCCCCAGACATGTCTATAAACTCCACAAAGGCTAGGACTGTGCTTGTCTTCCTCCCCACTGTCTTTTTTCTGATATAAACCACAAATCAAGACTAACAAAAGACTTGTGAAGTGCTAAGTTTGGTCCTTGTCATTTCTGTGTTCGCTGGGCCATGGTGTATGAGTGTGTTACGGCAGAATGTATTCAACTTCCTAAAGATTTCAATAGGGTGTAGGGAAGCAGGCCCTTGATACTCGTACCAGCACTAAGAAAAGATTCTTCAACGATGGCTCCAGGACAAGTTCAGAGATCACCTGAGAGTTGACCCTCAAAAGCTGCCAGTGTGAACGGGATCAATCAATAAGGCTATGCTCAACTGAACTTTTTGTAGAGAAAGTCCTAATAAACTGTGTGAAGTTCTCTTTGTACCTATAAGGCCATCCTCTGTGATAGGAGTGTCTCAGTCATTAGTTTCATTACTTTCTAATTCTAAAATGTACTTCCAGACAAACTAGTTAAGGTGTGAGTATGTTAATTATGTGGAAAAATTAACTTTTATGTGTAATTCTTAAAGTAGAAATTGTATAATATTTTCACGTAATTTTTAGTACAGAGTTAAACCTTGAAAAACTGAACACAAATTTAAAATGGAAAGAAAGATTATGTTTGACAGAATCATCCATATAATGTTGGGAACATTTTTTAAAAATCTGTTGATAATATTCTCCTCTTACAAAAGAACAAATAATATGTCACGTTTTTATCCCTAGTTTAGAGTGAAGAGATGGCCTCTTCACATCATATTCTTGTCCATTTCTTCCCCAGATTTCTTGCATTTATGCAAGTATTTAGTGAGCTGTGTCAAACATTGTTCTAGGCTGACAAAAACAAACATTCCCTGCCCTCATGAGACATACAGTCTAGTAAGGAAAGCAGGCAATAATCAGACAAATATATAATATAATTTCAAGGCAAAATTGTATATATTATTAATCTTACAGTATGATTGCAAATCACTTTTAATGCAGTTGAGGAAAAATAAGGTTCCTGCCAGCCACTGAGCATCCCAGTGCCAGGCCAGACCCTTCATGACCATCAGCTTACCACATTCCCTCAACAACCTATCAGGTGGTCTTTATTATTGCTGGCATTTAACAGATGAAGAAGCTGTGGATCATGAGGATTAAATGATGGTCAAGTATCCTGACCTGGACTGCAGAGCTGAGAGACAGTTTTGAACACTGGTCCTACAAATATGTCCTTCCTGATTGCACTAAACCACAGGGTCAGGGAGCCACATACTTAGATCTGAAACTTCAAAGGTTTGCTTATTGTTACTTTAAGGACATTTCCCAAATCCCAGGGAAATCGAGAGAAAGAGAGAGAGAGAATGTGTGTGTGTGTATGTGTGTGTGTGTGTATTTGTGTATATGTGTGTGTGTGTGTGTGTGTGTGTGAGAGAGAGAGAGACAGAGAGAGAGAGAGAAAGTGTGAGAGCAAAAGAATAGTCTGGGAGAAGTAGGGGATGTGGACGATGAGGCTGTAGGTGTCCAAGAGAGAATCCCACAGAGTCAGCAGAGTTCTGCGTCCCCGAGCCTGGGTGATGATCCAGTCACCCAGCAAACCACTCTGCTTTTCACAAACCCACACAGAACCTAAGAGATGCGGTCTGGGAACAGACAGGGCCCCCATCATACCTCTTCGCTGCTGAGAGACTCAGACGTGGAAGAGGACCAGCTGCAGTGAGCACGCACGCCCTGCACCTGCTGGCCAGATACCTTCACGGTGCTTCTGCAAACAGCTGTGGGCTGAAAAAGACAAAGCGGTGAGTTCTTTCTTCAGCTGCTCTTGGAAAAGTTTAGCCTCCATCCAGTAAATCAAGCAATACTGTCAGGTTTGATGAAATGACGAAGAAAGAAAAACTTCACAGAGGTATTTTGTTTTTCCAAAATGAAAATTCCTCAAGACTGAAGTAGAAACAAATGGATATTTAAATGTCTCTTTGGTGTTTGACCCATTACAAGCCTCTAGGAAAGACAAACATTTGTGAGTGCTGAGTGGGCTTCCCTAAGTCAATTCTCATTCAGACAAAAAGAAATGATGAAGAACCCCACAGGACTGAACTCTCTTCTCCTTTGCCCTCAGATTTCATTAGAAATAGAAGCTTGTGACACTTTGGTATGAGTCCTTTGTAAAACAGAGTCACAGTGAATAGTTTCATGAAACAAATAACAAATTAAACAACCCTCTTTTAAATAACAAAACCCACAAGCGTGAACCTCAGATTACAAACACTTTGGAAAGCAAATTTTGGACTGCAGGCATTGCCCTGTTCAGGTGGGATTAACGCTCATGTGTGTTGATTAAGTGTCTGTGGAGACGCAAGGTATTCCACCTTAGATGCCAATCCACCATGTCGACTTCTCATTAATCCATTTCTGGGAATCCCTCTAAGAGTTCCACTTTCACATAAATACTGTAAATCCTGGCCTTAGGTCAAATCCCCTACAGTACATAAACCCTGGGTCTGAGAGGTAATGGCATGGGGATCCATGGTCTCAACTCTACCCAAGACATGGGTTCTGTTTGTAAGTCCCTGTGAGTTGTTCTTGTTTGTTTGGTTGGTTAATTGTTTCCTGAGAAACTGGATTTGGCAGCCTCTTTCTTCAGCCTCTCAGCTCCCTTGGCCTTTGGTGTTAGGTTTGCATGGGCCTGCTCACCGTGAAACAGTACCTGTTCTGGTCATGAGAGACACAAAAACGAACATGCCATGTTTCTGATCTCACTGAGCCTGAAATAGTAGGGAAGACAGATGATATTCAACAGTCAACTGCAAGAGAACATGACATGCGCCGGGAACACAGTCAGTTTGAGAGAGAATTTTGTAAGAAAATTCTAAGTATGTCTGGGATTTGTCTTTGCTGTTGGCTTCTCTGCATTCACTTTACCTGATACAAATTCATCCTCATGTTAAAGAGCAGGAAACTGAGGCACCAGAAATTAAGTAATTTGTCAGGATCGCTCAGGATCTCAGACTCCACAGCTCAATGCTCAGCCACTGTGTGACACTTCCCCCACCAGGTGATACCGTGTCCACACAGTTACTGGTGTGGCCAAATGCCAGCAAGGCAGGGGCCAAGTTCTTTGTGTGTCTCCAGGTGATAGAAGTGAGGCTCTTCCTTTTGTTAGTTTCTGGGTCTGGTCTCCTTCCACCATGCTTACCACATAGTAGTCCCTCTGGAAGGCACACGTAGAGGGATCTTCTCCAGAATCCCTCCTGCATGTAGTCTCCCGGATGCTGAACTCTAAATTCATGACCAAGTTGTTCTCATCCAGGACCTCAACCTTCACAAAAATAAAGTAACAGAGTGTGATCAATGCATTTCTGAAGTTCCTGATGCTATAAACTATGCTTTCTGCCCCATGAGAAAAAAATTACAGAATCGTGCACCATGAAAACAATAAATTATCTTAGCAATCATTGACTTCCATGCCTTCCTTCTGCAGACCAGAGAGGAAAAGTGACTTACCAAAGTTGTACATAGTTTAGTGACAAAAATGAAATCAGAATGTAGGTGTTCTAACGGCAAGGCCAGTATTGCTTCTAACACTTTAACAGTGGCAACTGATCCTCGCTATTTGTGGATTCCACACTGGTGAACTCACCTACTCACTAAAACTTATTTGTAACCCCAAAATCAATACTAGTGGCACTTACTTTGGCAACCATCTATGGACAAGTGCAGAATGACCAAAAACTTGAGTCACCCAACGTGCATGTTACCAACAGAAGAAGACCAAGGAGTCATTCTGCCTTCTTGTTTCAGCTCTCATACTGAAAACGAGTGCAGTTTTGTATGGTCTATTATAGTGGCTTTTTTTTTAATTTTAATTTTTGTTCTTTTTGTTGGTAACTTTGGTGTTTAAGATGGCCTCCAAATTTGGTGTGGAAGAACCCACTAGAGTTCCCAAGCACAAGGCTGTGATGCCCCGACATGGAAAATGTTTGAATAAGGTAAGCTTTGTTCAGGCAGGAGTCACAGTGCTGATGACCATGAGTTCAATGTTAATGAATCAACAACATATATTAAATTAAGCATCTTTAAGCAGGAACTCACACACACACACACACACAAACCCATTGATGGGTTGACAGAAATGTTGTGTCCTAAGGCTCACAGAACCTGAACCTTTTATTTCCCATAGAAGCAATGATTCCATGTTTGCTAATTCAGTGTTCATGATGATTTTACACAACATAACTACTACAAATAACAAGCATCAACTGTACATATTTCTAAGTGTCATTTTCCCAAAAGACTGCTCCATAATTTCCTAATAATTCCAGAAAGAAATAATTAAGCAGCAAATGCATCTATGCAGTACAGACTATTCTCCAGCCCTAGCTTCCTGCTTGAGCAGTTCTAATCTGTGAATGAATTTAAATGATTTTATACTCCTTTCCACAAAGAAAAGTTGTCTAAACTTCTTGAGAAATCTGGGGAGTTCTGATGTCATGAAGTCCAGCGACTTATTGAACGCTCACTGTGAGTTCAGCACCAGAGGCAGAGCAGGGAAGATGCCATGTGGCTTAAATTCCAGAGAAGGTGCCACACAGTAGATGCATCAAAGAAAACAATACAAGATCATCATCCAAGATAGTTATGGGACTATCAAGAAAAACAACAAGACAATGGGGGTGAGGGAAGGAAGAAGCTACTTTAGAGAAAATACCAGAAAAATCCTCCCAAAGAAGGCAAATTTAAACCAAGCCTTGAAGGACGGGAGGAAAAAGCAGAGCCAATGTCCTGGGGCAGGGAGAAGTCTGACTGCTGTGGCTGGAGCAACCTGACCAAGGTGGGAACTATACACTGTAACTTCAGAGAGATGGGAAGCATCAGACAAGATATGGTCTTGGAGCCCATGGGAAGGTGTTTAGATTTCATTCTCACTGCAGCAAGATGCTATCAGAGGGTTTTAAGAGCTGCACGTGAATCACTGTGGCTGCTGCAAGGTAAACAGGTTGGGGCCGGAACAAGGGGGCAGCAGGAAGCCAGTGGGGAGCCCGCCATGGAGCATCACCTAACACCCCCAGGATCCAAGTCACTTCTTCCCTCTTAGTTTCTGAATCCACCTGGCAGCAAATTGAAGTCAGCAACACATTGAACCTACTGCCCTGGAGGAGAGAGAGGGAGGCAGCACTCTTGCTGTGAGAGCGGGAACTACTTACAAGTAGGGAATAACAGGTACATGCAGTTATTTTGTTTTGTAAAAAAGTGGCAAACTCCAAGCTTAGGATGGGGATCTCTATGTCTCCTGACATAGGATGCATAATGAGTACTGATAAAAGTAGGCTTTGCTGAAAACAAGTAGAAATAAAAACTTAACCTTACCATCAATTACTACCTCATATATTTGTAATTTTAATATATTGTATGTTAAATCTGAATCTCATTAAAAAATGAAAACCTCTCCCATCAACTGAAGTCTGTTGTGTGGGACCCTCCACTGCAGAGCATGCTTCAGCAATTCACCTTAATGCAATCTGATGCATTATCTTAATGCAATTAATCTTAATGCAATTAATCTTAATGCAAACTGGCAACACAAAATCTTCACTGAAAAGATGAAAATGTGGGCTTTTTTTGGGGGGTACAGATTATTTTATTGAGTTATGAGGTGATTTTGCAAACTCTTTTGCATCTTTAAGGGATCTTACAAGAATAGGGAGAAGCACCTAACATTTTTGCTGTTTCATTTGAACTCACTTTCTGCCAGTAAATTTCTATGCTGTGTTATTCAAAAAATGTGGGACAGCCTAAATGCTCAACAATAAGAAATCGATTAGAGAAAATTAAAAACCCAGCATTACTGCTGAAATATGTTACGGTAATTTATGATCAGTGTTGCAGTATGGTCCTATTTTTCTTTAAAAATATATTTTATACCTTCATATTGAGAAAAAACTCCAAAAGGATATCCTCTCGTGGGTTTATAGTGAGTATTTCTCAGAGAAATAAATAATGAATGTTCTTTTTCATTTTCTCTTTCTTGTGTTTTCTGACTTTTTCTAATGACTATATTTTAGTTTTTATTTCTAGAAGAAATAAAAATATGCAAAAATAAAAGACCCATAACAATTCCATTTGACAATTGTAGTGGTTAATTTTATGTCTCAAGTCGACTGAACCATGTTGCCTAGATATTTGGTCAACATTATTCTGAATGTTTCTGTGAAGCTATTCTTTGAATGAGATTATTTAAATCAGTGGACTCTGAGTAAAGCAGATGACCCCCCATTATGTGGTGGGTGCATCAAATCAGTTGAAGGCCTTAATAGAATAAAGACAGAAATCTTCCCATCAGAAAGGAATTCTACCAGCAGACTGCTTTTGGATTCAAACTATAAATTGTACCCAAATCTCCAGCCTGCTGGCTCACCTCATCAGACTTTTTTTCCTTTTGGACTTGTCACACTCTGAAATTGCATGAGGCAATTCCTTATAATAAATCTCTCTCTCTCTCTCTCTTTCTCTCTCTCTCTCTTTCTCTCTCTCTCATATTCACATGCATGCATTTATACATGTATACATGTCATATTGGTTCTGTTTCTCTGGAGAACTCTCACTAATCGAGTGTCACTGATCACTTGGATTTTTCAAATGAATCCCTAATTAATGAACAAAAAGTAAAGATCAGAAATGGCTAGCTGAGAATAATCTGGAAAACCAAAAACCAAAAAAATGCAAAGAAGTTGAAAGGTAAAATGAACACATACAAAAAAGGCATGGAGACCTCAGGGACCCCAAACTTCCATGATTTTGCCTCCAAATGTGCCTCAAATCTATCTGCTCACCCATCCTCCCTGCCCTGACTTAAGACTCCACACCAGCATCTCACCATGCTCAGCTTCCCACCCCACACCCCACTCCATGTGGCAGCTAGAGAGATTGCAATGGACTGCTTGTCCCTGGCCCCAATCCCCATGCTGAAACCCTAATCCCTGATGTGGTATTTGGAGGTTGAGCCTTTGGGGGGTTATTAGGTCTTGAAGGTAGAGCTTTCATAAGTGGGATTAGCATCCTTATAAGAAGAGGCTGGAGAGTTAGCTGGCTCTCTTTCTGCCGTGTAAGGATACAACAGGAAATCAGCAGCCTGCAGCCCAGAAGAGAGGCCTCACCAGAATCAGACCAGAGTAGCATGCTGGCACCCTGATCTCGGATCTCAGCCTCCTGAACTCTGAGAAATAAAATAAATTGCATAAACAATAAATTATGCACCACCTAGTCCATTTTGTTATGTGTTCATGGCCCAAACTAAGCAGAGATGTTTTGCAAATGCAAATGTCCCCAGGGGCTACCCACTTCCCATAAAACTGACCCCAGGGCGGGAGCAGTGGCTCACGTCTGTAATCCCAGCACTTTGGGAGGCCGAGGTGGGTGGATCACCTGATGTTGGGAGTTTGAAAACAGCCTGACCAACATGGAAAAATCCCATCTCTACTAAAAATACAAAATTAGTTGGGTGTGGTGGCACATGCCTGTAATCTCAGCTACTTGGGAGGCTGAGGCAGGAGAATCACTTGAACCCGGGAGGCAGAGGTTGCCCTGTGCTGTGAGCCGACATCACGCCATTGCACTCCACCCTGGGCAATAAAAGCCAAATTCCATCTCAAAAACAAAACAACAACAAAAACAGACCCCAAACTCCTCAAAATCATGACCTAGGCATGTCCCACTCATGCCCACCTCTCTGACCTCTCTCCACTTCCACCTTTCTCTCCCAGGCTCGCTTGGCTCTAGCCAGCCTCCCTCTCAAGCCCTTTTGTTCTTCAGGGCCCTCCCACTGGCTCTGCCAGCTCACCCCAATATTTCCTCAAAAGGTCTTTCTATGCTGGGAACTTCTTGTCACTCGAGTGAGTCTTAACTCAAAGATGCAGCCTCAGTAGAGATTTTTGCCCCATCTAACTGCTGCTCGAGACTGGGTCCATCATGTCAACCTGCTTATCCTCCGCTATGGTACTCTCCACTGTTGGAAATGAATTTGGTTTACTTAACTGTGTCCTCTTCTTCTTCCCCATCTTCCCCTTCCTCTCCCTCCCCATCTCCCTTCCCTCTGCCTGATAGAAACTGCTCCCTGTGAAACTACAGCCTGACTTGTCCTCTTTGCTTCCTCCCACCCAGCACAGAGCCAGTGCTCACCTTTCCTTTCTCTGCTTGTGTCCACTGAGGGAACAGTCCAAGTGAGCCTAATGTCAAGGCTGGGTCAAGAAAACCATCAGTGCTAAAGTCATGTGGTTTTTTTCCTTTCTCACCTTTTTCAAATTTGGAGCCCAAGAGTTGAACAACTTGAAATCAATTACAAGAATATTTGATCCAGGTCTGTTGGTAATACCCAGTGGTTCTTCACCCAAACTGCACATGAGGATGAGCAGGAGAACATTTAAGAATATGAGCCCCACCCTCAGAGACTGGGCTTTAAGGAGTCGACCATCCCTCCTGGACATCAGAAATATTTAAAGCTCTCATGCGATGATAATGTACAGTCTGAGTCGAGAATCACTAGGCTTAATAGGCAAACTTGGGGAAAAGTAGAAGGGCCCAACCCTTTTCCCTACAACCATTGAATTGTACCCCAAAATACTCATGACTAAACCACATCATGAGTATTTTGCTTTGAACATATTCTTAGAAGTGAAACTATGCAATTGAAAGGTTTAAATATTTACTAATTTTCATGCTTAACGTGCTTATAAATATGCTTAACACACATTTCCCACTAGCTTTTCAAAGACAATTTTAGAAAATTACAAACTCTCAAGCAGTAGTTGTGGCTTCTTTTTCCCCTTGTTATTCTTTTACCTTGTTATTATTCTTTTTCACATTGCTATTTTAATTCTGCATTTTTTTCTTTCTATTAGAGAGGTTGAATGCTTTTCCAAATCCTTCTTAGTCTTTTGTATTTCCTCTTTTGTGTATTGTTTGTAACCCCACTGTTAGTGATCCATTCACTCAACTATCTCCTGAGGGTTTTCCATCTTAGTGTATCCCTCACGTCTGCTAGGGTAGAGAGAATTGGTATATTTGGAGCCATCTATAGGGTGTTTGTAGAAGACATGGTTAATACACACATCATACATCAAAATATGAAACACTCCCAATAAAATACATATCACCAGGAGAGATCAAAGGAAGAGAATCTCCCTTCCAGTGGGAGAAGAAATAGAGTTCTCAATAAGAGGGCATGGTGACTGTAGCTTGCCCAATGAATTTGAATAATCAGAAAAGGCTAGGGAGAGGCAAGAATAGGCAGACCTCCAGGTAAAGGAGCAGTGTACTTGAGGTGGAGAGGCAACCTTCTTCATGTGCCCATCAAGAGTCACACACATCATGTATAAGTATATCTATTTTTAAGTGCATGTGAGGCTGAGCTCAAGTCTGGGTGACTATACGAAGATGGCACATGAGCGAGAATGTGCTCTGATGGCTGTGCCTCGCAATAGCTCATCCCCACAGGCCAGATTTCCATGGTATGAGTAATTGGTTCTCTTGGGATCTGTCCTCATGCTCAGATTCATCTAATAAACTACTAACTTTCTTCTGTAGTGAGCAATAGCTGAATCAAAAGTAAATTTAAACTGTTCATCTGCAAGGTTGGCAACAAGACCTCGATTCCACACCACCACAAGTAGATTTCATTAAACGCCCATGGAAACTGGCATTTGAAAAACAATAAAAGCAAGGAAGAGGGTTCTGTGTTCTGATCCAGAAGCAGCTCAATCTTTGCTGTGGCAGCTGACCAGTGCCTCCACACCACAGCATCCAGGTCAAGTGACCTCACTCTGATCGTCATCCTAGGATGGCACCTAACAAAAGCACAGCCCATGGTTTTTATGAACTATAACCAAACTAGAAAAGAAAACTGGGACCATTTGATTCATTTCCTTGAAATTTGGAAAAGAGTAACTGGGAGTCAGGTTCTGAAGAAGATCAAGCTGAATATGCTGCATTTGGAGACTAGAACTAGGAAACCATGAGCCAAGTGCTCTACAGAGTAGCAGAGGGAACAAGCTAAGAGTGAGTCCAGGAGGAATGGGAGAAGGGAACAGGCAGGCAGAAAGAAAGCAATGCCCATCTCGTCTCTGCTGCCTGGACCTTCGATCGTGTCTTCATTCTCATTCTCATGCTGCCTGGCTGCACAGAACTTTCATTCCTACGACATGCAACTTTATAGAACCTCCCTATCTCCCACCTTAACCTAAATTTGCTTGCAAATGCATCCATTCCTACTTCCTAATGAGCCCCATCAAGATGATAACAAGGCAGTGAAATTACCTGAGGAACAGGAAGAAGGGAGGTGACTTGCTGCTTATGTTTCTCATTCCTTTGAAGGATATTTTTACATTTATTTCCTTGCATATCACAGACTTAGTCACTGGAACCCCAAGTGATTACTCTTTCTCTAGCTCCCAAGGCCAAGAGGAAACAGACTATTACCAAGTTGACACAGGAAGGTGAATTTCTTTGGCTCAAAAGCCAGATTATTTTCAGTAAGTATTAGGAGCAGAATTGCTGAATTTGAAAGGAGATTCGCTTCAACACATGAGAAGTTCTTAATAAAACCCCTCAGAAAGAACCACGAGGACTTCAAGTACAAAAGCAAGATGCAGGGAAACAGAAGGCAAAGTTAGAGAGAAGAATACAGCAGAAGAATCAGTCATCAAAAGTGGCTTGAGAAGCCTCATGACAAAAATTGTAATTAAATCCTTTCTCTGTCAAAGAAAAGAGACACTATGAAAGAGATGACTAACTACTTTCATTTTTAAACTGGAGACAATTTCTTAAAAGTATGTCCAATGAACTGACAGAAGGCAGACAGCATTGTAAGGAATAGGGAAGACTTCATTGTGCACTTACTCTTTTTAATGAGCTCCTGAATGCCCGAAACAGATACAGACTCAGTGACTGGGAATTCACTTTTGCCACAGAGGCACTGAGGGCGTCCCTTAAGGAGGATGGATCGTAGTCGTACACAGGGAAACCTGGGCACACAAGCACATGGGGCAAGGTGAGACAAGACACAGGTGCCAGCATGGCTCTGCATCATCCAGAGCAGGTGGCCAGGTGGGTGAATACCTTACCTGAGCAAGACCAGTAGTTCATTCCAAGAGCAAACATAATCAATAGCTTCATCATCTTCTTCTCCATTCTGGAAATAATGATTTTAATTGAGAGACAGAGAGAATGTCTCTCTATGTGTTTCGGGATGACAATTCTTCCTAAGAGGAGCTGTCTTTATCAAACACTGGCTGCTTATTTTGACTGCAGCAATCTGTAACTTAAACAGAAACAATTGATCCTGGGGTCAATATTTTCTGCTGACTTTTCCTATGGAATGGTTCCAGTTTGAGGACACTTTTGAAGTTTACACCTCACCAGGGAACTTTAGCCCAAGGCAAAAGGCATCAGGAGGCTCAGGATTCCACGTATGCTGTTTATTTTCCTCTATTTTAATTTCATTCTTTTGGGGGAGGGGATATAATCTTACTTTCAACAAAATGGTTAATCTTAAAATGTTGTGCATTGAGTTCCCTCATGGTTCTAAAGATCTTGAAGTTGACTGCTTATAAAAATAGTGTGGGTATTTCAAGATCTTCTTGGAAATTATGACTTTGGAGAATATAATTTTATGTAGGCTCCTAAATATTCGAAGCAAGTACATGTGCAAAGCTGGAACACACCATCCTGTTAACCAACCTTCTGTGCTACTGGACACTTTTGCATGTCACCTGGATAATAAGGTATTTACATATTAATGATTCCCATGCACTGTAAGATCCCAAGGTAGCTTTGAATCATTAAAAAGGAGGGCTACTTTATCGGAAGTACAGTTTGTGTTGTATGTAGGTCATTGTGTTCTTATTTGTGAATTAAAGTGCATAAGAAGCTGTTATGGCTCAGAAAGACCTGGACTGGGATCTTGGCTCTACCATGCACCAAGTGTATACCCTTGGGCATGGTACTCAACACCTCTGAACCTCACTTTTCTCATCTATAAAATGGGCTTAAGTGGTTAGATGTCAGGTGTGTTGTTAGTCAGGGTTCTCCAGAAAGGAGAACCAAAAGATAGAGGGAGAGAGAAAAAGAGATTTCGAGGAGTTGGCGCACACAATTGTGAAAGGTGGCAAGTCCAAAGTGTTGGTGTAAGCTGGGAGGCTGGAGCCCTCGTGAAGATTTGCTGTTTCAGCCAAAGGCAATTGACTGGCAGAATGTCTTCCTGCTCCAGGGAAGTCAGTCTTTTTCTATTCAGGGCTTCAACTGATTGGATGAGGCCCACCCACATAATGGAGGGTAATCTACTTTACACAAAGTCTGTTCATTTGAGTGTTTATCTCATTTTAAAAAATACCTTCCCAGAAACATCTAGAATGGTGTTTGACAAAATGTCTGAGTACCATGGCCTAGCCAAGTTGACACATAAACTTAGTCATCATATACGGGTTGAATAACAAACTCTCAGAAGAGTGCTTGGCAATTAATTGCTCAACAAATGGTAACCACTAGTAAGAACTCCATTCAATAGATACTTTTAGTATCTGCTATGTGTAAGGCAACAGGTCCAGAGAATATCTGAAATGAACTGATAATCCAGCCTGTCCTTCATAAACAATGCAAATGTGTGTGCCAACACAGGAAGTACAAATCCCTGGAGGAATTCAGAGAGAAGCTGAAGAAAGGCTTCCTGGAGATGGTGGAAACGTTAGTGGTTTATGTTATTCTCTCAAGTTCAGTGCCCAGGAGATCATGTGTCTCTTTGACCTTGACCTTGATGGATGAAAACTTATTCAACAGGAGAGATCCTTCCTCAGCCCAGGGCAAAAGACCAGAAAAGGCAACACTGGCAAGGGGACTGCAGTCATTTGCCAAGGGATATAGAGGCAAGCAGGGATGTTCTTTAAAAGCAGGCAGGCACTGTTACCAACCAGGAGGAGGAGGAGACCTAAACATAATAGATGCACCCTCTAGGAAGGCAGTGATGCAAAGTTTAAATTCCTGCTACTAATATATAAGGCAACTTTATGAATCAAAGTATTGCCTCAGTTTTACCTGCCCTCTTCACCAAGGGACAAAAGTATGCTTGTGATGACTTTACATACTGACCAGTATGTAAAGACATTCTTGATACAAGTCTTACTTGTAGCGAAAGACGTTCTTGCTACAAGTCTTACTCATCAGCACTTTGGCGCAAAGGCATATTTAAATTCCCTGGATAATCTCAGCTTCTAAATGCTCATTCATCTCACTCATGTACAACTCTGGGTCCAGCAGCTTCTGGCCACTCTCCAGCCTCATCTCCAGCCATCCTCCCTCCCTCACTAGGTGTCCTTGAGTTCCTTGGGGACACCAAATGACTTCCATCCAAAGGCCTTTCCACATGCTATTCGCTGCATCAAATAATAATGACACTCCTCTTGCATGTCCCCAAATCAGCTTCTCTCTACCATTCAAGTCTCAGCTTAAAGAGCACCTCCTCAGAGAGCTTCCCTTGATCAAGCCCTGACCTAAGCCACTCTATCCTTTACCTGTCCATGCCAGTTCCCTGCTTCCCCTGTTCCTAACACAAATGGATCATGATCTTGCTGGTTTGCTTGATGTTGTCATTCTCCTCTGGTAGACTCTAAGCTCCATGAGGCAGAAACCATGACTGTCTTATTTATGATATCCTGAGCACCCAGATAGGAATACGATTAAGTATTTGTTGAATGAGTGAATGATGAATGAGCATACTTGGTCTCTCTGGACTTTAATCCAAGTCTTGCTGTTTGAAGCCGGCACTAATTTCTGGTATGTAACAGGTACACAGAGCAATGTGCTATGAGGTGATGACCATTAAAATTTGTAGTTCTGTTACTTTTAACCTGCTTTGAACTCAATTCCATTAGAGTCTTCCAGATTTAACTAATGGCACCATCTGGCACCAAACTCCATGGTCTCATTAAATGAGCAGTAGTAATAAAAGTAATTGCAAAAGAGTAGAGGAGATTAAGGAGACAACAATAAAATAATGTTGCCAGCACAGGGCTATTGATTTTGTTTGTAGCTTGCTGGTGTGGGGAGAGATGCTTTCATTTCGCAGATTCTCTTGGCTACAATTAAACATTGGCACCAGACATGCAGGGCAGGCACTGATTAGCGCTAAAAAGTGATGATCTAAAAATGCCTCCACAAACTTCTGTCATGTCTAGTAAACTAGAAGATTAAATACAAGCCATCTATTAAGTTTCGGGCCATAATAATTTCATTTACTAGTCTTTCTCTCATCTGCAGAAATGTGTACAGCACTAACGCCCCCAGTTTTCTGCTGCTCCAACACAAAATATTTAGGTAAGTTATTAAAAATTATGTGGCACTAAGTGAAAAGAGTTGTGTATAGTAGCTTTTTTTTTTTCATAGCCTCTGGAAATTTATATAAAATTTACCACAGAAAGCTTGACAAGAGCAATTGGAAACCTATCGAATAAAGACAAGTGGGCATGCACATTATAGACTAATAAGATTCCTTGCTACAATCTTTATCATTTCTTTTGAGATTATTCTTTTCATCTTGATCATCTCTATTGTTTGAGAAAAATCACCGCATTTAGTGCAAATGTAAACCAAACCTTCATCTAATGCATAAACCACAGTTTTTGGTGCTGCCTTCCAATTTCATGTAACAGCATGATTTCTAAAATTCTGAACTCCACTCTCAAGATTTACCTTGATGGCCTATAGTTTGCAACACTTCCATGTTCAATGCTATTGTTACATTTATTTGGTAGGAGCCACAGGTTTATCTGTTAAGCAAAGTAGTACAGATCAGCAGTTCTCACAGTGCAGTCCCCAGACCAGCAGCTTCAGCACCTCCTAGGAACTTGCAAATTCCCAAGCCCTATCCCAGACCTGCTAAATCAGGAACTCGAGGAAGAAGATCCAGCCATCTATGCATGAACAGGTTTCCCTGTGATTCTGGCTTACACTCAAGTCTGAGATTCACTGGTACAGAGCAATAGTTCTCAGCAGGAGTGATTTTGCCTATTAGGGAGTACTTGGCAATATCTGAAGTCACTACCAATTGCCACAACTGGAGGAGAGGGTTCTACTGACCTCTAGTAGGTGGGAGCTACTACTGAACGTTATTAATATAATGCATAGGACGGATGCCCACAAGAAAGAATTATCTGGTCCAAGATGTGAGTAGTGCCAAAGTTGAAAAACCCTGGAGTGGGAAAGGGCAAAGAAGAGTGAGCCTCATCTCTTTAAGGACACCTCCCAAAGGTCACATACAGCATTACTGCCTGCATCTCATTGGCCAGAAATAAGTTATAGAGTTAACCTACTGTGAGGAACGGCAGGAAATGTAATCCACTGACTGAGAGGATAAATGTTGGAATAGTAAGCAAGACGTTGCCAACTTGAGTTGCAGAAACCAGGAAATTTATGCTGCATAGTATAGAGGTGAAGGGCATCTCCAGTAAGACAGTTGTGCGGGAGGCTAGAGGGCCATCCTTGCTTGGAAAGTCTCAAGGAAAAGATGAAATTAATGGAGTCGTTGATAAAGAATATTCAGAAGAGATTTATATGTCTCATGGAAGGTTTTAGAGTTTAATTTCTGGTAGATACCAAGAAAACAAAGCACTTTTTTTCAATGAAATGTTATTTTCAGGAAAAATAAACATTTATTCAAGAAATGTTTATCAGTTGGGAAAGTCTTGGTTATAGTGTGGTAACAAACATTTCCAAAGTGGCAGTAGCTGAAAATAATAAGGTTTCATTTTTTGCTTATACTACATATCTACCACAGGTCCAAAGAGGGGTTCTGTTCATCATAGTCACAAATGGATGCAAGGTAATGAAGCAGCCATCTACTATTATTATTACTGTAAATAACACATAGCAGTAGATTCGCTGTCTTAACAGACTTCAAGTATACAATGCAGTATTGTCAACTACAAGTACAAGGTCACACAGCAGATCCCTTGAATCTTTACATCTTGCATGACTGAAACTCTGCACCTATTGAACAACTCTCTTTCCTCTTTCTCCAACCCCTATCCTCCAACAACCAGCATTATATTTTCTGTTTCTATGAGTTTGGTTGCTTTAGAAACCTCATATAAATGGAATCATGCGCTATTTATCCTTTTGTGATTGGCTTATTTAACTTAGTGTTATGTCCTAGCATAATGTTCATCCATGTCATAGCATACGATAGGTTTATTTTTATAGCTAAGTAGTATTCCTGTGTACATACCACATTTGCCTTATCCATTCATCCATCAGTGAGCATT